TTTCCTGATTGTAAGCAATTTGTTAGGCCCATGACTTTGTGGTTCAGAAGAAAAATGTAAAGCTATCACACCAAAGATGCATGAGATGATACATCACAATTATAGCTGGACTTTACAAAAAATAGATGTGAATGGGCAAAACTGTGGAAAAAAAATTAAAATTGGTCTTCACAGATATGCACTGATATCTACAAATAAGCAGCTTTTACATGACAGATTGCCTGCAATGGCAGGGACAGGGCTTGATGTCCCTTCTGGGGTGTATGAGAGAGCCTGAACAATGTTTATCATACTTGAAATGAAACACTGATAACCTGAAATTCAGCCATACTGACTAACCCTGCTGGTACTAGATCAAATATCATTGATTTTCAGCCCCTTGCCCCCCCAGCTAAAAAATGGTAAGGGAATTATCTAAGATATACTCTGTTGGCTAAGAATGCTCACAGCCATTGTTCACAATACAGCAATATTGACTTGACTCACGCCTAAAGAAATCAGCAGATGGGCTCTTTCTTCTTAATCTAGAAATGCGAGTTAAATATAAGGATAAAGCTAACAGAGTTGCATGCCAACTATGCTAAAACTTAAATAAATATTGCCAGGTGTAAGAGTCTTTCCTTTAAGAACATATTCCTTCAAATTCTAGTTTTCTTTACCCAATTCCAAGTTATCTTTACAGAAAAGACACCAGAAATATACTGTATATTTAGAGGGCCAACAGCATCAAGGGCTGCATCAATAGAAGTGCAGCCAGCAGGGCCAGGGAGGTGATTCTACCCCTCTGCTCTGCTCAGGCCACATCTAGAATACTATGTACAGCTCTGGAGCCCTCATCACAGGAAAGACATGGAGCTGTTGGAGAGGGTCCAGAGAAGGGCCACCAAGATGATCAAAGGCCTGGAGCACCTCTGCTGGGAAGACAGGCTAGTTAGGGCTGTTCAGCCTGGAAAAGAGAAGACTCCCAGGAGACCTTATAGCACCTTCCAGTACCTGAAGGGGCTACAGGAAAGCTGGGGAGGGGCTTTTCACCAGATAGGGCAGTGATAGGACAAGGGGTAATGGTTTTAAACTGAGAGAGAGCAGATCTAGGTTAGACAGCAGGAAGAAATTATTCACCATGAGGATAGTAAGGCACTGGAATAAGTTGTCCAGGGAGGTTGTGCAAGCCCCCTCACTGGAGGTGTTTAAGGCCATGCTGGATGAGACCTTGTGCAACCTGGTCTAGTGTGAGGTGTCCCTGCTTTTAGCAGGGGGGTTGGAACCTGATGATCTTTAAGGTCCCTTCCAACCTTAACCATTCTATGATTCTATGAGTATGATCTGTGATTGCTGATACTGGATTTTTGCTTATATTGCTAAGTTAGTGATTGCACAAGTGTGCAGTGTGCCTTTTATTGCTACCACCAGGAGGAAATTTTCCCTTTAGATTCATCAGTTAATGACTTCCCCGTTAAGCTGTAAATCTACAAAAGTTTTTGGCAAACTTGTAATTTGCCTTCTTGGAAACCAGATGTGAAGATCCCAAACAGGTGGGAGCTGTAACTACGAACATATGAATGTAATATAATTAGCAAATACATGCATTTGTATGGTACTATCACAAAGTTTTTCTTCTAGCAAACCTTAAGTATCCACTCAAGTAATACTTAGGTGTGAAGTAAATGTTTTCAAGAGCAAATAAATTAATTAATTATCGGTTTTGCAAACATCTTTAACCATTCAAGCTCTAGGGATTTTAGCACAGCAGGAGTATAGACAGTGCTACAGGATGGCTTTATGATAGCATGTTTGCTACCCTTCAGACACCTGGTTGAAGTTATAATAATGAGAGAGTATACGGAAGGTACTATGTGTAAAGTACTTGAGGACACGTAATCCAAGCTGCACATTCATGTTCTACAGCAATATATATGCTATGTCATAAGGCAAACACGTACTTAGAACATGTAAATGAGTTTGCTCTTAGGCCCCAGGAAATGCAGTGAATTGAAAGTGTATTTGAATTTCCTCTTTTGGAGCAGTTGTACTGAAGCCCAGGCATTAAGGTGCTCATGATGAGGAAGACAGGCATGGGAGCCCACTCTTTCAGCTTTCAGCATCTGGGTGTGCTCATCTGTAAACATGCTCCTAATCCATAGGAAAAGGTGGTGGGAGGCTTCTGCATTTATGAAAGAGAGCTGCTTTCCTGTGAAAGGGGTGTGTGACTAACGCAAGAGTAATTCTTCCAAATTTCAGTTACTTGGTAGCAGCCTGAAGTTCTGCCTCTCAAATTCATGTTTTCTCAAGAATTGCAATGTCTCCTCCGTGTCATCTTCCGAGTACAGCCTGAAGTGTGCTAGATAAAACTCTTTTCCTGGACTTTGTTACTATGGGGAGTACGTGTCACAGTCATCTATGGTTACACAGGACTGGCAGCAACCTTGCTACATTATTTTTATATTAGTTTTTCAAAATTGTTTTTCTGCTGAAATGTTTTCAAATGCATTTTGAAGGTTGCTATTATCCATGTTGTTTCTGTTCCTATATTTGGAGTCATAATAGTGTTTTGCAACAGAAACAAGTCATTGTGAGGTAATTAGATACTGCACGAACAGTTCTCCAGTAGCTGCAGCAGACATGAACTTGTTAACCTATGCAACTGAGAGTACCTGAAGAAAGCTTAGTCCTCTGTGAATGACAGGATAGCTCCTCAGCAGGGGACACTGAGATAAAAGCTTGCACACAGGCCTTTAGCATGCACTGACTTATGCCTTTATAAAGGTCCTTAGCTTTTGAAGTACATGAATTCTCTTAGAAAAAAACAACAACACAACAAACACACACACAAAAAACCTCAAACAAAACAAACAAAAAAAACCAAAAGCAAACAAGAACAAACAGCATTTTTCAGTTTTTCAATCCTGATGTTTACTAGGACCAAAATAAATCTTATCCCATCACTTGAGAGTTCAGACTATTCTTATGACTCCATCTATGAAAATTACAATACAGAATGCTTTCTGATCATATTTGCAGTTTAAAAATGTAAACACACAGATTATATGTTTACTAAAAATATGTGTATGCAAGTAACAGCATCATCTGCAAGGTCATAGCTTTTGCCAGTTCCAGTGTATTGCTTCAAATGCTCACAAGACGTAAAAAATTGATGTTAATAATGTTTGATTAGATACCAGTTTCTAGCCTGTTTGTTCTCTAGCCTTGCAAGCACATGGATGCACAAACAGTAGGAAGGAACCCTACACGCAGGGCTTCACTTTCAGTGTAGGATTCATGTTGGATCAGTTTCTCTTGGGCACGTCACTCTGTGACCCAGTGGGCAAGTCTCCTGAGCACCACTGTAATGAAGTGCCTGGTGATGTGAGTGGCACCTTAAGCTCCATAACCATTTACCTAGCACTGAGTGAGGACAATAGTTGGGAGCACAGAGCCTGCCAGACCCTGTGCACAGCCCAGCACACATGAGGAGCTGGTACTGGCAATACTGTGAAGGCTTTTGGTCACTTTTGGGACCTGACTGCAGGGCTTGAGGTTTCCACTGGCCAAATAACAATTCAGCAATTCCAAAGAAGTGGTCTTGAGTGGGGTGGGGCTGGGGAAGGAGAAGATTTATGTACCAATCAACTAGACCCTTTTAGAGCATGTGGTTAAACCTATAACCCATTTACTTTTCATTTCCCACTAACCAGGAAGACTGCAGAAGAGTCCCAGTAGTGCTGAACTGGTATAGCATCCAGTCCATGTCACAGCTGCTGGGAGAGCTCTTTTCTTTTAAAGAGGCTGTTTTAAATAGGGAATACCTTAGCTCTCCTTTTTGGAGTACAGCATCTAATAAAACAAATAAAAATCCCAAAGCCCACATCAGAACTCTACTCACACAGACAGATAATTTGGACTCCCTCTTCAGTAACCTACCTATAATTGTGGAATAATGTAGCAGTTTGCTTAGAGCCAGGCAGCCACTGCCTTTAAACTCGGGTGAGCACAAACCTTCCCTGTCAAGCAGCTGCTTTGCTCACACAGTACCTCCTAAGGCTCTACCCAGCTGCAAGCTCTTGGGGTCAAGGACCTCCCTATTTTTACATGTTTACATAGCACATAGCATCACTGTGAAGTTCACAGGAAGATCTGCCAGGTGCTATAATGATACCAAATCATAAATAAGCAATAGAAGATCAGTAAAGGCACATTATCCAGGTAAACTGCAAAGAACATCATTATGTAAGGTTACTACTTTTTTCCGTTTACCTCTCTGTCTTCCAAGTAACATACTGACAGGCAGAAAAAACTTTTCATATGCAAGGCAATTAAAAACTCAGAGGCTGTGCCATTTGAACAGGAAGCTGGTTTCAGTAAGGTAAATTGAACTACATTTAAAAATTAATCAAGAGGTAAAAGGCTGTGAACCCCCCACCACCATTTCTGAATGGTGTTCATAAGGCTTATTGTGTCAAAGCTGTCACTTATATCCTGTTTCAACTGCTGGCTCATTAAACAATGAAAGTTCACTGATAGGTCTGCCAGAGAAGGTGAGGTGGGTGGAACACTCCAAGCCCTCAGGTAAAATTATCTGAACCTGTGAGAAAAATAATTCTTTCCAACCATGAACAAAACCTTTTAAGTGATCAGGTGTTTGGGGTGAAAATGTCTAACCAAATCTATAGGTATTGATCCCCTCTCTGAGCCCCATCACTCCCCCTTACTGTAACAAGGGAGAGAAAACACAAGCAAAAAATTCCCAGACCCAACCATCTCAAAAGACAGGTATTTTCCCAGCTCAGATTCCAAAGCTAACCAGGTGACACAGAGAATTCAGAAGTAGGAGTGTCAGAGCAGGCACTGCAATAAGAGGTGGCTCATAGCACTCTACCACTGTTCCTGGCACGGGGCTCCAAATAAAAATCAAAGCCATGCATCTCTTTTCGGAGCAAAGAGCAATAAATAAATAAATAATATACATATATATATATATAAAACTAATGCAATTATTGGAATACCTTTGATTCCTGGCTGGTAGTTGATGCTGGAGAAGGGGGCTGCTCTGTGCTCTCCACTTCATTTTCTTTCTCCACACTATCCACGCTGACTTCAGTCGTGCTGCTCGGAGGAATCATTTTACCTCTAAACCACCGCTACTATCAGGGAAAAAAAAAAAACCCGCTACAGACCTCTCTCGCTTTTTTTTTTTTTCATTCAATATCCTCTTTCTTCTCTGCTCTTCTAGAGCAAATGAACTCCAACCGCTCGATTTCACTACATTTGCAAGACTAGAATTCTCTGGATTTTCTTTTTCCCCTTCTCCTCCTCCTCCTCCCTCCCCGCTTCTCTCCCTCCTCCCTCCCTCCCTCCCTCCCCTCCCCTGTGCAGTAACCGCTGCGAGGGGAGTAAGTTATGGATGGCTCCGTAGGTCACTTGTGTGCCTGCTCCTGTGATTTCCCCGACCCGCCTCTCCTCCCCGTGGAGCCGGGAGGTGCGGAGCGGAGCCGTGACCGGCAGCTCCGCGGTCACAGGGGAGTGAGCCGAAGCAGAAAGCCCGAACCACGCACACACACACACACACACGGGGCACCGGAGGGAGGAGTTGGATTTCTAACGCTGTGAATAGCTTTGGAGGAGCGTGCGTGGTCATAGTAGTGAGAGAAAGTGATGCGGGCAGGCACACGCACACGGGGGCAGGCAGTGCCTGTGAGGTCTGGAAGCGTTCTGCATTTTCACAGGTAGCTGAGGCAGAGTTTGAAGGGCAGCTTTCTGTTCTTGCAAGGCTTTTCATGAGGATGGACTCTAGAAACAGAGGAGATAAATGAGCCTTCCCTTACCTTGCCCTAGAGAAGATTATTTTAAATCCTAGCTACCCAGTGTTTCTAAAGCCCCCCAACCTGCCTTATAGTTCAAACTTGCCAGCGACAGGACAGAGTCAGGATGGAGTCACCTGTGGATCCACGTGTTCTGTGTTCCCCTCCTGGGCAGGGAAGCGGGGAAGCCCAGCTCTGAGCCATGCACATGCAATCAGGGCCAGCTGGAGCTCCCACTACGGCACACATCCTGCACCTGTAGGTTGTCATAGTGATAACACTCCATCCTCCATAGGGCAGTGACAGAGAAGAAGCAGCAGCCTCCAGGAAGGGCCTGCCGGCTTCCCCCGCTGCTCTCCTTGTGCCCAAGGATGCGGCACCCAAAGTCACGCTTGAGGCTGTGGCAGTAACAGCAGAAGGTCAGCATGACTTTGCTGGCTGGCTCAGATTGCTTCGTAGGACTCGTGGTTTTGCCTCCGATTTAAATCTGCTGCAAAGGTGCCTGTCAGCTCTCTTCCCTGCTGAATTAAGTTCTGTATTGTGAAAGGCTGAATGGATGTGCTTCCCACCAGACAGATGCTTTGCAGAGCAGAAGCCTCTCCATGTGGCTGGTGGAGATGTCTCATTTAAAAAAAAAACAAAACAAAAAACATGAAAAAACCCCAACCCAAACATGTACTCAAAAAGCAATACTTACATCCTGGAAAGTGAGAAGGGAAAAAAATTGTCACTTAGTTGATCTGTACTGGAGGTACAGGTACTTGGATTTGATTTACTGGGGTGTGAGTGAGAGAGTAGCTTCAGTACCTTTTAGCTCTAGGAGAGGGTACCAGATTCCCTTCCAGCCCTACCTCTTAGAAGCACACTGCTAGCTAGAGCTGCCTTGCGGGCCCCCTCCACCTCAAATAACCCAAAGTGGAGGCAAGTTTTCAAATGCTAAGGGTTATACAGATGAAACACAGAGCAAAAATTGCCCTGCAGCCTCTGTATTCTCAGAAACTATGAAGAAGCCAGGAAAAAAAAAATCAGTTTCTCTTTGAATCCACGGTGAATTTTCAAGAGTGGCATTTAGATGGGGAAGAAAAAGCTTTATTTCTTTGAAGCAGAATATATAGGATGCTGAAATCTTTAGCAGACAATGAACGTGAAATGCTGCAATGCTATTTGCACAGCTATTTCAGAGCAGAAGTGCATCTTATGAATCTTCCAGAAGAAAATATTATTTGGCCTGAAGTTGCTAAAACCATTACAGGGGTCAAAAAGAGAGCACTAGTTGCTGTTGAGGCAGTGTCAGTGACAACTGAGATTGAAGCAAGGAAACATAGAGTTCAGAGGGGCAGATTTGGCAGGAAAGTAAAAGAACTTATTTTGAAGGGTTTGATTTCTAAAATAGAGCAGCATCTTAGACTGTTTTCTTTAGAGCAGGAGGAATTCTCCAGATGCAAAGCTTATTTCTTTCACTCAGCAAGATTTGGGCTTTGCTGTAAAATCAGCCTCTTAACAATGGGCTGGGACTGGGAAGAGACACAGTGTAGGAGAATTAGGGCAGATGTGGGCAATGGAAATCTTGGCGGGGTGGCAGCAATTGAATGCTCCAGCTCTGGCAAGGGTATCCTTCCCTGATTGTCCAGCCTAGCAAAGCCAAGCCAGGACCAGGGCATTGGGTCCTCTGCAAGGACTGTTCTGTGAGCCCAGCAATGCAACAGGTAAGAATCATAACATTAATTTTTGTCCAGAACCCCAGCAATGTTGTGAACCAGTCTTCCTTGTTAAGAGGCTCAAAACCAGCTTCTTGTGGTGAACCTGTTAAGTTAGTTTTGAAATGGTCATGGAGTGGTTCATTAATAGTTAATGTTCTAAGTGTTGTAAAATCCTGCACACATTTTGTATGAAAAGCTTGTAACGTCATGACTGTGTAAGTGACTATCACACCACTCTCTACTCTCTCTCATTTTTTGTAATATTTATTTTTTACCAAATTAGTACTAACACCTGCTGCACTCCCTCTCTTCTCCCAATTACTCACTTATCAACCATGACTGATGTGTCAGTTGCTTGACAATTAGCCTAAGAAAGATGAGTCAAACCTAAAATCTTACCAAAAAAAGCAAAAAGGAAGTTGGATTTCTTATCTTTTTATTTCCTTCCACAGGCGCTGGCTGTCGAAAATCAAATATTTGATATAACAGAGCAGACTGATCAAATTAGATGAACCTACATCTCTCTCTCTCTCCCCCTCTCTCCCACGCTTCACTCCTGTGAAGTAGGACTTGTGATTACCGCCGATCAGTCTCTAAGTGAAGGTACTTGTTGGAAATGTGAGCACTGCAGCACGGCGCTAAACAAGAGAAAACTGAGCAGATTCTCTAGTGAAGAGATGAGTGTACAATGTCTGGAGTGGGGAAAGGCAATTTGGATGACTAAAATATGAGAGCCAATTCTCAACCCTCAGCTGAAGTCGTTGCACCATGTAAAAGCGTTTGGATGTTGCCTGGAGTTCCCACCAAGCACTGCTCTGCTGGGTGACCTGAGGCTGACTGCATGGGTGCTAAGCCTGGTCTGGCCTCTCACCTGCTCTCTGGCTGTGTAGCTACAGGTGACAGGGTGTGATGCAGAGCATACCTCTGCACTGGGGCTCCAGCAGTTCCTCCTAAGCTCTGGCTGGAGCCAGCAGGATAAGAGTGTCCCAAAGGCTCCTGACACCAGGAATATATACACACTGCTGTACTGCCAAGTCCTACCTGCTGTCGAGGGCCATGGTGGCAAGATTAATCTGATGTAGGGGTTTTGGCCACGTTCTTTTGCATTTTTTTTTTCTGGTAGAGACATTTATCTGAAATATTTGAGCACATTTCTGCAAAAGAGGTACAGGAGTAGAGTTGATTTCATCAAAGGAAAGATATGAAATTAATACATATCAAAAGATGCTATTCCTGTTTAGAATCCCATGTGTTTACTAGAGAAAAATAGGAAGTAAAAAGGAGACAGGGAGCTATAGGTGTCATTATTCACTGTCAGGTGCCTAAACTGTCTTATGCTCCCGAGCAAAGAGGGTAAACAGGAGCATGTAGGGACAATACTATTGCTAAATGACACTGTTTTAATCTGTTATGCACCTCTCTCTAGAAATGTACAAAGCAGTGAGGAATCAGGACAGCTGCCAACAAAGCAGAGCCTTCAAAGGAAAGAGGAAATAAGATTACAGAGTCCAGCTTCCAAAAAAGATGCAGTCTTGAGCACCACAGAAAACTATTAGAGCCAGAAAAAAGGTTGTCATTCTGGCAGTTGCAGTGAAACTTGATCAGCCTCTCCCCAAGTCCCTCAGTTCAATTTGTGAGTGTTCCAAGTGAGAAATAGCTTCATTTCTTAGTCAATTCAATTTTGCCTTTGTGGAAACTGCAAACAGGCACTACCCCTCTAATGCCATTTGTGATGGGAATTCTACTTTGGCATGGCATGTTTGGCCAGATGAGGTGGTGAATGTCTTCAACTAGGCTCTCCTCTCAAGTATCCACCATCACCTGCAGCTGGCTACTAGACTGCAAAGATCAGACCATTGTTCTAGTGGAGTATTTGCATGTGTTTCCAAGTAAAAGACTTGTGGGCACTTCTCACCAGCAAATATTGTACCCACAGAGAAAATAGTATGAGGTGGCTGGGTTTTTTTTTTGTTTATAGTTACACACCCCTTGTTTGCTTTTAGTACAAACTTGGCAGTTCATCAAGCAGCTAACACACTAACAACCCCCTTGGATTCTGCTTATCAAAATACCATCTAAGGGTTAAAATCAGCAGCTCATCAATCTGGAAGCACAATGCTCTGAAAGCATTCCCAGAACTAATGAGATACTGGTGGTTTGCATTTTGACTAAAATGATCTCAAAGTAGTTTTTAGAGTTAAAATATTAAGCCTCCCCCTGCTCCAGGGAGAGATTATGCTGTAGCAAATGGGTAACAGTGGGAGAAGCCAAACTAACAGATTTGTGCTTGTACTTAAGCAGGGACAAAAATGGAACCGCTGCCTGAGTATTAATTTCAAAACCTTCTTTTTCTCTATCCACAGCAATGCCACAGGGAATGATGTAGACATCACACTGCAACTTGGGCAACTTGAATCTGTCTTTCAGAGAGATTATGATGTGATTGAAACACTGCTACCCAGACATCTAGACTAGGAGAAAGAAGAGTGCTGCATCCTCTTGTGACAGCAAGAAATATTTGAGGAGAGAAAAGGATGTAATTATAAAAGATGGAATTTATCCAAGATACAGCATGTAATATGTTCAGTCTTACAAAAAGTGTTGCAATACCTTTAAATAACC